TTGTTGTTGTTTAGCTGTGCCCTGTCCCCAGAGGTGTCATCTACAGAGACAGGCAGGACTCCTTGAGCTGCTGTGAGCTCCACCCAGTTCGAGCTTCCCAGCCTCTTTGTTTACCTACTTAAGCCTCAGTAATGGCGGGCGCCCCTCCCCCAGTCTCGCTGCTGCCTTGCCTGGAGATTGCAGACTGCTGTGCTAGCAATGAGGGAGGCTCCCTGGTGGTGGGACCCTCACGGCCAGGTGTGGGATATAGTCTCCTGGTGTGCCCGTTTGCTAAGATCCTTGGTAGAGCGCAGTATTGGGGTGGGAGTTACCTGATTTTCCAGGTGTTGTGTGTCTCAGTTCCCCTGGCTAGGAAAAGGGATTCCCTTCCCCCTTGGGCTTCCCAGGTGAGGTGATGCCTCGCCCTGCTTCAGCCGTTGCTGGTGGGGCTGCAGCAGCTGACCAGCACTGATTGTCCGGCACTCCCTAGTGAGATAAACCCAGTACCTCAGTTGAAAATGCAGAAATCACCTGTCTTCTGTGTGGCTCGTGCTGGCAGTTGGAGACTGGAGCGGTTCCTGTTCGGCCATCTTGCTCTGCCCCTTCACAACATTTTAATTGCATAGTTGTTTTGAATACAAGGGAAGAGCATCTTAAAAGTATGAACATTTCCCATGAAATTCATTGTATTATAGTAATATATAGGCCAGTAATACCGTGTTAAACATGTGAGTTCTTAATTTTGATTTTTAGAGTTAAAAATCCTGAACTTGGCTGAGCACGGGGCTCACACCTGTAATCCCAGCACTTTGGGATGCCGAGGCGGGTGGATTACCTGAGGTCAGGAGTTCGAGACCAGCCTGGCCAACATGGTGAAACCCCATCTCTGCTAAAAATACAAAAATTAGTCAGCCATCGTGGCAGGCACCTATAATCCCAGCTGCTTGGGAGGCTGAGGTATAAGAATCGCTTGAACCTGGGAGGTGGAGGTTGCAGTGAGTCAAATCATTCCACTGCACTTCAGCCTAGGCAACAGAGTGAGACTGTGAAAAAAAAAAAATCTGACCTTGTCATTTATTAGCTGTATATTCTCGAACAAGTTACTGAACCTATCTGTACTTGTTTTTCATCTGGAAATTGGAGTTAATTACAGTATCTACCTCATGGAGTTGTTTTAAAAAAAAATCAATATGACCATCTTGCCAGGCGTGGTGGCCCATGCCTGTAATCCTAGTACTTTGGGAGGCTGAGGTGGGCAGATCACCTGAGTTCAGCAGTTCAAGACCAGCCTGGTCAACAAAGTGAAACCTTGTCTCTACTGAAAATAAAAAAAAAGAAAGTAGACAGACAGGTGGTGGAACCTGTAGTTCCAGCTACTTGGGAGTCTGAGGCAGGAGAATTGCTTGAGCCTGGGAGGTAGAGGTTGTAGTGAGACAAGATCGTGCCACTGCATCCAGCCTCCAGCATGGGCGACAGAGCAAGACTCTGTCAAAAAAAAAAAAAAGGAAAAGAAAAGAAAAGAAAGAAAGGAAAGCAAGCAAGCAAGCAAGCAAGAAAGAAAGAAAGAAAGAAAGAAAGAAAGAAAGAAAGAAAGAAAAGAAAAGAAAAGAAAAGAAGAGAAAAAAAAGAAAATTAAATATGATGATCCATGTAAAGTTCCCCTCACAAGGTTGGATTGAATAAATGATAGCTATTCTTGTTGTATGTTTCTTATTATTCATGTGTATGTCTGTGAAATTATCTAGATAGTCGAAATCTCAGAATGAATGAGTAAACAATAGTGTTTGCTTGCCAACAGGCTTTTGCCCCTGTTATTATGTCATATCATTGTTTCTATATAAGATCTGTATAAGCTTTTTTATCTCCACAATTTTTATGATCCATCTTGCCTCACCTCACCACAGAAAAGTACACATTATATACCTGACATTCAAGGTCCTCCATATTCTTAATCTCTAACTTTTACAGTCTTGTTAATTACTGCTCCTTTCTATATTTCTAGCCAAGCTCTCGTATTCAGTTCTAGGCACTCCTTAGCTTTTTTTCTCTTTCCACCCTTAACACAGAAGGGTTTCCAATAAGAAGGCTTACTCTTCCTCTATATTTGCTGATATGGTTTAAATGTTTCATCCTCCTTAAAACTCATGCTGAAATGTGACCTCTAATAGTGTAGGTGGGCCTATGGGGAAGTGTTTGGTTCATGGGAGCAGATCCCTCATGAATGACTTGGTTCTGTCTTCAAGGTAATGAGTGAGTTCTCACTCTACAATTTCACGCAAGATGTTTGTTTAAAAGAGTGTGGCACTTTTTCTTCACTCTCTCTTGCTCCCTCTCTCACCATGTCACATGCCTGCCTTCCATTCACCTTCCATTGTAATTACAAGCTTCCTGAGGGCCTCGCAAGAAGCAGAAGCTGGTACTACTAGTACAGTCTTCAGAACACATATTTTATAAGGGTAATTCATTTGATCAGTGGCAAATGTTATACCTATACTCTGTGGTAGTATTTAAAGCTTTTGTATTTTTAATTTTTGTGGGTACATAGTAGGTGTATATATTTCTGGGTTTTATGAGATGTTTTGATACAGACACGCAATGTGAAATAAGCACAGCATAGAGAATGGGGAAATTCATCCCTGAAGCCTTTATTCTTTGAGTTACAAACAATCTAATAACAGTGCTTCTTTTTTTTCTTCCTCTGTCACCCAGGCTGAAGTACAGTCAGTGGCACAATCTCAGCTAACTGCAACCTCCGTGTCCCGGGTTCAAGTGATTCTCCTGCCTAAACCTCCCAAGTAGCTGGGACTACAGGTGCGCACCACCATGTCCAGCTAACCAATAACACTCTAAGCTATTTTAAAATGTAAAGAGAAACAGCATATCCAGTCATGCATAAATGGCATTTAAGGTCATATAAATTACTGCAAAGATTATATTTCTCCCATTTTTGCTTAATTCCTTCCCATTTTTACCAAAACTATCAGAAGTTTAAACAGTCTTTCATCAGTGTTATGAGATACTGAATGGGTTCTATGTGGATTTTGATAAGTGCCTTGCAGAGATTTGGGGGCAATGTTTAGCCTCAGTTTTGACTTTTTGAAAAACTAATTCAAGGATGTATGTTTTGATGTCTTGTTTGTCTCAAATTATGTGCTTGTGACAAGCATAGGAATAACTGTTAAAATTGTTGTTTATTGTAACACCTTAAAGCAATTTCACTGATTTCTTGCACTGCTATGTCATTAGCTGAAGCCTTGTCACATTTTCCTTTGGCATTATGTAAGACATTCCCTTTAAAGTTAAAGAACCAATTGTCGATTGCTTGAATGTTTTTATGTTTTTCTCTCTCACCACATTAGAGATTCACATGTCAAAAAAATCTCAAAGATTCCACTTAAATGGTAGTCAAAATAAAAAGCATGCTGTTTAATTTGCCCACTATTCCATAAATCCTGTGCTTGAAGAACTACCTTTTGTCAACCACTTGAAAGCAGGGAATATGAAGTGTGACTCTTGAGAATTGTGGTTCCATTTCTCCACAGACATAGCAGGATGTGTAGTTCCAAATGGTTTTCTTCCAAAGTCATATCCTCAGAGTAGGACTGTCTATGTAGTCATTCCAATAATGTTGCCATTAACTACAAGCACATCTGAAAACCCTCCTAAGGAAGTGCCATTAGATCCGGATTAATAAAATACAAGGAAAACCAGTTTAATTACTTTGTAAATGCATAACTCTTTATTTTCCCAGTGAGAGATCTTTTTTAAAAAATTCTCCTTTTTTTGCTATTCATTCTTCCATAGTCACTCTGTTCAAATGAATACTCTCAGAACTACTACTTCCTTTCTACTCCCTTCACACCAAATGTTTATATTATTTATATTGCAGACATAAAAGATAAGAGTGATGAAGCGAGCTTCATAATATTCAACCTGATAAGCTGAGGGATTGTTTGTATTCAAATTTTTTAAAATGGTGCTGAAACAACACCCATAACATTTGAAAAAAATAAGATAAAAAGGTTGTCAGAAAGAGGACATATACTTTTCTCATATTTATGATGGATAATACTTTCTGCTTCTAATGCAGATATTGTCAATTATGCTCACAGAAATCTTCTTAAAAGTTTCTAAAAAACAAATTCGTTAACAATTTTATATAGTTATATTTAGGAAAAGTGAGCTTAGGTGAACTCCACACAAATTTCCAGGTTTTATAGAATGTTTATCACCCTATAGAGTTTCTTTTTTCACCTACTTATGGGGTTTGTAGGACTTGTATCATGCCTTAAAATATACATTTATTTTTAGAAATAATGAACTATTTGAGTTTCCTATACTCCTTATCATCAGGATTCTCTACCTTGGAACGGTATTAGGACAACGCATCTATTTACCACTTAAGACCTTGCAATCTGAAGCTTGACGTGCCAAATCCACAACCCACAGATTTTTTGGAGAATTCCAGGCAAACCATGTTGAAATGGACTTGATCTCATGTGGCTTAGCTTTAGTGTGTGTCTTCATCATTGAAGGGTAATTTAGTATAGACCTGATAAATGTAACAACAAAAAGAAGGGAATAACATAAGCATATATGGTGTATTACACTGGACCAATTTTGGCTAACCACTGTTGATCCTGAGGCAAATTGCTTAACCTCTCTGAAGTTAAATTTATTCATTTGTATTGGCAATTTCCACAGGTTTATTAGGAGGGCAAGATGAGATATTATGTGTGCAATAGTGGGAAGGGGATGAGAGATAGAAGACTACAAATGTGATGCAGTGTATACTGCTCAGGTAATGGCTGCACCAAAATCTCACAAATCACCACTAAAGAACTTAATGTAACCAAATACCACCTGTACCCCAATAACTTATGAAAAAAAAGAAACTACCTAACAAAGTGACAACCCAGAGCACAATAGGCACCCAACACATTTTCAAGGAATGAATGAATTTCCATGCCTTTTCTTTAGTAACAGGTTTGTGGTCCTGAAATTTATGTACATGTTGCTTGAATTCTTCACACTGTCTTGCCTGTTAGAAAAATTTATCATTAGAAGGACTAGACATTTTTACTCTCACTCAGAATTTAAGGTCTTTATATGAAAGCTATTTTTTTACATGCTAGGACAAACTCACATATTTACTGTGCATTATTAACAATAACTTACTTATTGAAAAAAATTTAAGGTAAAAAATTCAACTTTTATTTACATCTGTAAAAATTTGATCTAGGCTTCTTAAATAAAAAAGTGGCTTGAATTTCAAAGTGGAATCAGGTAAATCTATTTTCTCTTCCTCTCTCACATTTTTCACACTCTGCCTTCACCATCACACCTCTGTTGACTGTGAATATCACACAAAAAGTACTTATTTCTGTTATTCACAAGGTTCAATTAAAGAAATTGGTTTTCAACTCTGGCCTTTGGGAAAAAGACAAGGAATGTAGGTAAACAAAGTCATAATTAAAGAGATATCTTAATTTTAGCCAATCATTGATGAACCACTCTCCTTGCTCATGAGGCGGGAGCGGGTCACAGAACTGCCATGGCGGGAGAGTTGGTCACGAAACTCTGAAGCCATAAAGTAATAAAGAATTGGATCCAGAAGGCAGCAGAGACTTGCAAGGCACAGGCAAAAGGGGTGGAAATACAGTGCAATTCGGACAATGGGACAACTGCTAATGATGGTTTCCTTTACCATGGTGTAAAAAATAAAGTTAATATGATAGGGAGTGAAGCAGATGAAGAAGACTGCAGCACACATGAACACCATCCGCAGTGCTTTCTGCCTCTCACTGATCCCTTGGAAAGCCATTGGTGGCTGTCTCAAGGATATAGTAGTTTTCCAGGTACACCATGCAATGATGATCACGGGGATCACAAATCCTGCAAGCTCAGCAACTGTAATCATCCCGACCAATGCAACTGCATTCATTTGCTTGTATCCAAGATCAGCAAAGCAGGACTTGTTGTTGTTTAAGTCTGTGCTTCTCAGGATGGGAAATGGCAAACAGGCAGTCCCCACAATGATCCAAATGGCAGCACTGATGCCCACATCGTACCTACGCTTCCAGTCTCTGGCCCTGAAGGGCTTGAGGAGAAAAAAGCACCTTTGAAGACTGATGCACGTCAGGAAACAAATGCTGGCATACATGTTGAGATACTTCAAGTAGAAGCAGAGCAGGCAAAGTCCTCTCTGGAAAGGCCAGTGGTGGCTGATGTAATAGTAAATCCGGAGGGGTAAAGATAGTACGTGAGCAAGGTCAGCCACAGAGAGGTTGATCATGAAAATGATGGCTTTATTTTTCTTGCTGATGAAGCGGCACAGAACCCACAAGGCTGCACTGTTAGCCAGAAGACCAGGAATGAATATGAGGATATAGGTGGTTGCATAAAGGGAGTATTGAAATTTCACATTAGTGACATTACAGTTAATCTCAGCAGTGCTGGTACTGTTGCTACCCATCTTGAATATTTCAGTATATTTGTCAAGGTAAGCCATGGATTTATGGTTCCTGCCCAAAGTAAAACAAAATAAAGAATATAACGGTTAATTAGTCCTTTAGTTAACACCGAGATCTCTCTTGTATACTTGCAGAGGCACAGACTATTAGAATTAGAAGAGACCTGTTTACATATAAAGAATTAGAGGCTCAAGGAAAATACAGTACTGATTCAAAGTCACCCAATGTAACAGTTTAGAAACCATAAAATTGTCCCACAACTGCCCCCCACCTAAGATTCTCTAAGTTGTATTTTGCAGGTAAAAATGTCTTGAAATATTAAATCTTTTATTCTGATCACAGCAAAAACAGCGTATAATTCGAGTATATTTATTTTGCCTCCAAATTTGTCTTGTCCAAAGCCCTGGTTAGATTAAATACTGCTCACTCCCAATTGCCATAGTAGAAATTTAGCCTCACATTTTAGGTTCCCATGCCTGTCCTTTGTCTGCCATTTTGCTCATTGGGTCCTGGCTTCTTATCTTGGAACCCCAGCACTTGAAAAATGGTCCTGACTCCTTAATCCTGCATTGTCAGTGTCCTGGCTGATTTTCAAGACCTGAGAGTGTGACCTCATTATTCTATCATAATAACTTGTGACTCTAGGTTATCCTGCAGTTTGTCTTTCTCCCTAGGCTTGGGTATCCAAATTTACATAAAAAGTTTAAATAATACATGAATTTAGAAGCTGAAATAGAGTATTTTCCTTTGTATAGTCTTGGAGGGGAAAACACCAGTTCTACCTCTAAGTAGAATCCTGTACTTGTGTGGTAACATTCACATGACAAATTATCCAACAGTCACAATGAACACTGCTTTGGACACTAGCAAAAGAAGGACTTTGAAACCATTTTTGAAGACAGTTTAAAATGTAATGCTTTCTTTATTCATTAAAGTAATCGTTATGAAGAGATTCCTTCTTTTTTGGACTTCCTTAATCATATTTTATGATTTAGTATGGTTTTTATTATGTGTTATATTAAGGTATAGAGAGAGTAGAGTAATCTTTAGAGATTACCAGAGGCTGGACATGGAATTATGCTGATCGCCTGCAGATAAGAATGGTAAGAGAGCCACAGACTACTCATTTTGCTTTAACTATCTTGTAGAATTTCAGACTGGGGAGGACCTTTGGAAATCATCTAATTCACTCTCCACATAATACAGATAGAAGCAAAGCCCAGAGAGAGGAGTTTATTATGGCCACACAGCTGTTAATGGAAGATCTGAGACTTGAAATGGAAGGACAAGGGGCCTTGCCTCCATTCACACCCTTCCCCTCATCTTTGTTCTTTTCCCCATGACAAAGTTCACAAACATACCTTCTGTGCATATTGCAGGAATGTTTACTGTATTTCGAGCTAGAAGTGGGAAAAAACCAATGTACTGAGGTTGTTTCTCAGAAGAGGAAGGGTTTCTGTTGTTTATTGTTTTTATTTTGTTTTGTTTGAAGTAAGTTTACAAAAAACAAAAGAATAACCTGGTTTTAGATTCTCCCCATGAGTAACAGATTGTCTTCCTATGTCATGTTACGTCCTGCTCCAGAAAATAGAGTTGTGCTAACAAAAACATAATTCACAGATAAAGGAGTGTGGATGTTATGAGCTGCTCTTACTGTAAATTATTCTTTTGCTTTTCCCCCTGTTTTATTCCTTCTCCCTATTTGTCCTCTTATTTGTGATACGTCTTAAATAGTCATGCAGTCATCTTGCTTATGTATGTGTTACTTAGAATGGAGGGTGGAAGGGACTCTCACAAGTGGAAAGGCAGGAAATAATTATCATATTGTGACCATCAAGGATGTATCCCACAATCTGTAATGGAAGTTTTCAAGTGTATTATTTAATTTAATTTAATTTTCACAACTGTCCTAAAATGTAGGAACTATTATCACCCTATGATCTAGATGAAAAAACTGAGCTTCACAGGCATTCAGTAAATTGCCTTAAGTAGCAAAACTAGAAAAAGGGTAAAGATAGGATTTACTATCATTCCTGGCTTGTTCTGAAGCCTATGGTATTTCCACTATGCCACTTTTCTCTCCCTGACTAGGAGGGACTACTTAGTAGAATTCGGCTATCTTAACTATTACTCCACATGCCTTTGCATGCTCATAGCTTAGCTCCCACTTATAAGTGAGAATACCTGGTTTTTGGTTTTCCACTCTTGTGTTACTTCACTTAGAATAATGGCCTCCAACTCCATCCATGTTGCTACAAAAGACATTATTTCAATTTCACTGTGACATGTGAAGAGTATATTGTGGCAGAACCATTCTAATCCCATAGTAGGAACTTATATAACACTGGAATTCCTCTATTTGGACAGTCAGAATAGAAATAAACATCTGTTCCTACTTATGCCACATTGTTCCCACCCTACCATCTACTTTGATTTTAGTGTTGGCACTGTTTCTACTATCAACTATTGTCCACACGCAGGCTGTGAGAGAGCAAAGAAAGATCCATCAGTGCATTAAAATTTCAGGAACTAAGAACTGTTCATAACCATACTCCCCTGCAGTCATACTTCCACTTTTGCACTTAAAAGAAATGGCTGTTTGTTTTAGCTTCACTGGGTGTAGAAAGTTTCACTTACAAAACAGGCACGTTCTGTTCACATCTTCCTGCTAAACAGCAGAGCCCAATTATGCCAGAACAGCAAGCCAGAGGTCAAGTTCACACCTTTTTTTTTCTTTTCTTTTTTTAAATGTGGGTTCTTATGTCTCTGCAATTCACAGTTCATTGTGAGCTTAGAGATTTGCATGGCTTGTTTCCAAAAACCTCTTTTTTGCTTCAGGCTAAAGGGAAGGTAAGAAGGGTTTTTTTTCCCCCGCCCCAGATCTTCTTAGTGACCATTAGATGTAAAATCCCCATGATGAGGAGAGGCAGAAGGTATTTATTTGGGGTTGAGCAGAAACATAGACTCTCTTGGAGGGAACATTTAGCTTGCTGTGGACAATTGTATCATTTCTGAAATATAAGAAAGAAAAAGCTAAGGAGCGACTAACAAGAAAATCCTGGATGGAAGGACTAAAATCAGAGTATACTCCTCTCTGTTCCCTCACAACATCTCTCTCTCTTAATCTCTCTCTCTCTCTCTCTCTCTGTGTGTGTGTGTGTGTGTGTGTGTGTGTCTTTCTCTTCCTCTCTCTGTCTATCTACGAGTCTGGCTCTATTGTTGCCTATTTGTGGGCAGTTTGCTCCCTTTGTGCTGCCAATTTGTCTCCCCTCCAATCTGGACATATTCTTGGTTCGTGTCTCATAGGGATGTGGGATTGGTGATTCATTCCTGAGTCTGTGCTTCCCTTTTCTCAGTCAGTGCCCTCACTCCCCTCCCAGACACTCAAGCTGGAAATTAGGGAGTAATTCTGACCTTTGCCACTATATTTCCTCCCATAGACAATAAAAAACCCAGAAAACCCAGAAAATTCCTCCTTCCATGTAAAATCATCTCTAATCTATCTTCACCTCTACTGTCACCATCCTAATACAGGTTGCTGTCATCAACCCTATTGACTATTGCAACAGCTCCCTTACTAAACTGTTTGCATTCCAGTCCTTCCCCAAAAGTTCATTCTCCATACCATGTTTAACATTAAGTATAACTACCACTTATTTCGGGTTGCCTTTTATTTACAGGTTAAACACCTTATTCATTATCTCATTCATCCTCGCAGGAGTCCTATGATTATTTCCACATTGCAAATGAGAAAATTGAGACTCAAAGAGGTTAAGTAAGTTGTGCTGACATCACAAAATTCACATGTCTGGTTCCTTTTAACCTCAGTCTGTGGGTCTGAGAGACCTTAACCACCCACTCGATCTAGGTAATCCTATACATCATTACATACTCTCACACTCTCTGCTCTTTCTCTTTGTAGTATCAACATTTGCAATTTGGGTTTTTTCTATTTGTTTATTGGTTATTACTCTCAGTGTGCTGTTAAGTTCATCAGTGCCACAAAAAGATCTCCTTTGTTCATCACCATATGGCCAGGACCTAGCCTAGTAAGCATTCAAAGAACCTATAAAAAGTATAATTGAACTGAACTGCTTACACAGTAGTTCAAAGTTTCTGTTTAGAAGTATTAAGCACAAATTAAAAACCTTGATATATCAACTAATACATTTCTGATGCCTACTATTTCCCTAAAATGTTTTCTTCTGACTTGGGCTGCCCCTATCAATATTCCCTGCACCTATTCTTTTCACCTCAGTAAAGCAATACCTGTAGAGGCCTGAGAAAAGAGAAAATAAATCATTTAGAAATCACAGGTGGTCAGATATACCCTATGGGTAGAAACCAGCACAATCCAAGATCTCAGGGTATCATCAATACTATTATCTGGACCTCAGGTAAAGGACAGTTTTATGATTTGCTTTCATAGTTATCTCAACCTTTTATTTTGGTTGGTTGTCATTCTGTGAAGGAAATCAGAAAATGACTTGCTATCCACCTACACATGGGACCTGAAATGGGAGTGAGGAGGCTGCATCATATAGTCACTAAAGCTCTCTACACTTGAAAAGAAAACATAAAGGGAAATAATTCTATTTACTTTTTTCCATGGCTTTTTGAGGACTTTGGCTGCTTTAAAGCCCACACTCAATCAGCATATATTCAATAAGCCTCATCCTATTAACTATTTGCTAGGTTCTATGGAGAATATAGAATCATCCACAATGATCTGTGTCCCTGAGAAACTTCTTGTCTTTTAAAGGTGAAGGAAATAAAAATATGTTACCCTAAAATATATTTACTTAAAATATTTTGAAATGATTGCCTCAGGGCTCACAGACTGAGGTGGGGAAAATGTGCATCTGCAAAGAATCTCCATTAATGTAGCTATGCCTCTCCCATTCTATGCTTTTCTCAGATCCAGGAGAGATTGAGTCTGACATCTTTAAAAGTCGGAAAAGAAACATTTACCATCTATTCTCTCTGACAGAGGTTTCATCTATAACGAGGCCAACTCTGTCACCAAGCCTCTCACTCTCTTCCTCCAATAA